AGTGAAAGAAACTACCTAATGATATATTTATTATAACTTGAAAAATAAACTAAACAATCATCATCATCATATAACGGGGGTCCTACGGCGATTGCCGCTTCCCGCATTTCAGCCTCCATCTTTTCCTATCTCTTCAATCTCCCTCTTCTAAGCCTCTAGATTGCATTGTTTTTGTAATTTCTCTTCTCCAGGAATTTGGTGGTCTTCCCCTTTTCCTTCTTTCTGGCGGAACATACATTAAGGCTTTCTTTGGCCACCGCTCCTCCTCCATTCTCATCACGTGACCATACCATTGTAATTGCCTTCCTTGTATTCTATCTGAAAGAGTATCTCTAATTCCTGTACGGTTTCGTATTTCCTCATTCCTGATTCTTTCCATTCTCGATACTCGACATGACCGTCTAAGATAATCCATTTCCACAACGTCTACTTTATCTCGTTCATTCTTTGTCATCGTCCAACATTCGGCACCATATGTGGTAATTGGTTCTACAATTGCTCTGTATACGCGAAGTTTGGTATGCATCTTTATTTTATTAGACCACAGTAATGAATTCAGTATTCGGATGGATTTTTTCCCTTGGGTTATTCGGTTTTGTACATCTATCTTAACTCTGCCATCTGCTGATATGATGCTTCCTAGATATTTATACTGGTTGCAGCCTTTTATGACTGCGTTTTCAAGCCTCAGATCTGTGGTATTTCCTCCAATTTTTAAATATTCTGTTTTAAATATTCTGTTCTAAACTAAACAATACAAATAGTAAATCGGACTTACATTTACATTACACGTTATTATTAAATCGCGAATAGTCTAAATTGACATAAAAACTATTGTCCTGTGTTAAATATTGTCCTGTTAATGCGAAGTAACTCTCAGTTACTCCAGATGTCCAGGTAATACAGATATTTTCTACTTCTTTAACAACTTGCGATCTAATAATTTGCTCACTTTTGACATAATATTCCTGAAGTAATGAACCTGACAAAGTTTTTCTTGTTGGTGGTTTATATCCAGGAATCCACCCTGCAAACTTTTTAAAAGCTGGTTCTTTAACTATGGAAAACGGATGAAACGAAAAGTTTAGTAAATCTTGAAAATCAATCAGTCCAAGAAAAAGAAACTGATAAAGATGACTTAAGTCCATGGTGTATTTTTGATGAATTAATTGGACATGACTCATCTAAACATACACCTGTATCGAGAGGTATAAAAGAAGTCGACATGTAATTGTCTGATGATATATTACCCACAAACAATTTCGAACGGAGATTGGAACTGTCCATTACCGTGGTGAAAAAACCATCGCCATGTATATCGTAACTTAACCACTATATTCATAAAATGTTGTAGTATTGTAACAAAATCTTTTCCTTGTGAACACATGTTTAACATCTGGTATAATTTTAAATAAAAGAAGAACGCGATTAACAAGAAAAGTGGAAAAACTTATGTTTTTAAATGTCAATTTAGACGATTCGCGATTTAATAATGTGTAATGTAAATGTAACTATTTAAGTACCATTTGTATTATTTAATTTATTTTTCAAGTTACAATAAATATATCCTTCGTTAGGTTCTTTTATTTCAATACTTATACACATAAACGATAATAGCTAATATGTTTGTGTACTCGCTAATTTGAATACTGGTAAACAATCAACTAGTTACAGTTTACGAAAAACGGTTCCGATAAAAATTAAAAAAACGAGAAGACCCACCTCTAGTTTTTTAGGTATATTAGGATCGGAACCAGAGAATATCTGATCGGAACTAATCGTCTCACTAATGGGCAATGGCCAATGAGTGTTAAAAGGATTCTAGGAGGGGAGACGAAGGGGAAATATGATTGTTATCTTTGTCTAATTCGTTGAAAATATGATTTTATATCTGCGTTAGATATCCTGTTAAATTTTACCATACCGACCTTAAAATTTTACCTACACTGTATATATATATATATATATATATATATATATATATATATATATATATATATATATATATATACAATGAGGTAGGTTTCAAAAGAAAAAATCTTTTGATCACGAGGATATCGGTCAAAGGAGAAAAAATAATACAAGGAAATCACTCTTCCATTCCTATATTTGAAGACGTTTCGCTTTTGGAGATCACAACCTTCATCAATTCAGTGAATGGCGAGTGAAGTAAGGTGTTAAACAAACACACCATACCCTTGGTAACTGTGGTCAATACATTAAAATGTTGTTAAAATCGTAGCTTGAATGTTTCTGTGTAGTAGAATTTGTGTTTACAATGCGAAAAAGTTTAATTTACAAATGAAAGAAAGAATAAAAACTACTACCAAGCTCAATAAAAAACCCGTCATCATTGCACGTAAAAAAACTAACTTACAACAGTAAAGTGTAGATATACAATTAACAAATTAAAAAAATGACTAAAACGCACTGGCACAGAGCCGAATTGTTAACTTGGTGTTTTACACCTTTTTATACTTCACTCACCATTCATTGAACTGATGAAGCTTGTGAACTCCACAAGCGAAAAGTCTTCAAATATAGGAATGGAACTGTGATTTCCTTGTATTATTTCTCCTTTGACCGATATCCTCGTGATCAAAAGATTTTTTCTTTTGAAACCTACCTATATTTACTCGTATCGGTACTTCCATCTGTATTAAGGAACACAAATGCTTATTACATACTAATCGTTATGTTAAGTAATACCTAATACTGAATTGACGTTGGAACGAGGTCCACAGCCCGATATCTAAATTATGCTCTCTTCTCAACTCAGCTCAAAACTGTGCTAAATGCATTATTTACCGTTTTTATAAACGTCCTTTCCTTATGACGTGATCGGTCAACTTTGTTGTGCATGTGTAAGCAAGGTTACGTTTGAATTGCTTTCAATTCTGGAAACTGAGATATTTGTTATAATTATTTTTATTTATTTATTTTCAACGGGCTGCTGCCCAATAAGATTAACAATGTTTACAAAGTATACAATAAAACAAAAAATATAAGTATAAATATTACATCTTAATCACGTAATTTAGTTTTACACATCAAAATGATGATTATCTATTCCACAGCCACTCAAATAAACAGATACCTGAGACCAGAAATGAATTCGGCCTTCGGTGCAAAAAAATCTAGATCTGGGTGAATATTTGCCCATCTTAGTGCTCGAGATAAAAATTATTATATGCACAGTTCGTTCTGTGAAGAGGAATATACAAAGTTTGGTTTAATCGTGTTCTACGGATAGGTACATGCACACCAACCTGCGTAAGTAGCTAGGGACACAAGATTGTAGAATTAATTATGCCATAAAGCATGTTTGCATCTTTAATTAATCGTCGGTCATACAATGGGAGAATAACAAGTTGGGTTTCAATTTGATCATAATTTATTTGATTTAATTCAAAAGGTATACCCTGTTTATATTCTACATATTTTAAGAACTTGTGTTGAAGTGTCTCAATTTTTGATATGTAAATATTATAGTATGGAAACCATGCACAAGAACAATATTCTAGATGGAACAATAACTAAAGGTTATGGTCTGACTAAAGAACAATATAGTAATTTAATCGCTTCAATATTTTGAAAGTCTTCTAGTGAATCTTTTTATAAAGCCAATTATTTGTAAAGACTTAAAAATTATTGACATATAATCCGATTCAATTAAAAGTTAGAGTCTAAATTAATTCCCAGATCACTGATTTCAGTAACCCAGTGCACAAGAATGTTCTGTTTATTATAATTATATTCCATTGGGTCTCTCGATCGTCCAAAAGAAACATCATGTTGAATGCGTTTATGGCATTCAACACACACCACACACTCAACCGATCGAGATCGTGTTGAAGATTAACACAATCATCTGTATTATTGATAATTGTGTAGAACTTTAGGTCGTTCGCAAAAAGAAGAGGTGAACTGTGCTGGAAGCAGTGGTATATATCATTGATGAATATGTGAAGAAATGAGAACCCTGGGGTACTCCTGACTGAACCTTAATCTCCCTGGAAACAAAATCCCTGATACGCACCATCGGAACTCGGTCAATTAAGTATGTTCTCAGCCATCTAATAAGTGACACATAAACACCCATTTTTTACGTTTAACTATTAAAATATTATGGTTGACCCAAATAAGGCCTTGGAGAAATCAGTGTATAGTGCATGTACCCCACAGCCACTATCCACGGCCTTCCTCAGGAAGTCGACAAACACTAGTATCTTACATTCAATTGATCTACTATTCCGAAATCCAAATTTTTGGTCTACTGGCTGTGTTTCAAGTGAAGCTTTAAGATAGTCACATACAAAACATTCAAATATCTTTGGTATTACACTAATTATACTAATGGGCCTGCAATTATTCACCAATGAATTATTACCGCTTTAAAAATAGGTGCTAAAAAATTATTTTCCAGCATTCTGGAAATTCACCATTATTTAAGCATATATTAAAAATGTGGAAAAGTGGTCTGGATAATATAAAATAACAATTCTTGAGAAAGCTGGGAGGCAATCCATCAGGACCAGGATCCTTATTCACATCCAATTCTGATAATTTTAAATAAATATTAGATATAGTTAAGTTAAAACTAGTCAAGTTAGTAAGACCAACTGAAGGTGAATCACTGGGTGATGTCACAATATTTGAGTGGAATAGACTGTAGAAAAATATTCTGCAAAAAGATTTACAATATCTGGCCCGTGGATTCAACACCACCATAACTCAACACATCGAGCAAGGAAGGTTTTCTCCTCTGTGAATTCACAAACGTGTTCGTTAAACTTTACCTACTGCGCGCGTCCCCGATTTTTGATTAAAAACAATTCCGGTTACACAATAATAATGAAATGTAAAATATGACTAACATTCACAGTATGGTTTTCCTATTCATATGCGAAATCTCTGATTTCGGTGTTGAACCATGGCTTTTATATTTTTCCCATACACAATATACTTTCACACATAACATAACATAACTTATATTTTAGGTAAAGCATAAGGATCTAATGTTGGAGAACTACCATAAAGATATGGAAAAAATGAAAGAAGTTACCAGAACTATAGTTGAAGCTGGAGATTCTGCTATCAGAAAGATACCTCACAATATTGTTTCTTCTGGATGCCAAAGTGGAGATTATTTTAATTCATACTCACATTTTGGCATTCACCATGATATGCTTAATGTAAGTAACTTTTTTATACATGTATCTTTTTATATAACACAGTAGCGTAGCATAACCAGCAAAATTATGTTTCCCAGCAGTTCATTTGAAGTTTGTTTAATCTCTAATTTTTTTTTTCAGGATAAAGTTAGAACTGAAAGTTATAGGGATGCAATACTAAAAAATTCCAATCAGTTTTCGGAAAAACTTGTCTTGGATGTTGGTTGTGGGACAGGTATTTTATCAATGTTTTCAGCCAAAGCTGGAGCTAAACAAGTATATGGTATTGACCAATCTGAAGTTATTTATAAAGCTATGGATATTATTAGGTAATTATGATGATTTTTGAATAGAAGTCTTATAAAATAACTTAGCATAGCCTGGTATGCCGTTTTTGATTAATACTATAGCAAAGGTAGAACAGAACATTATTATTATAGAAACGAAATTATTGAACGGCCCCAGTATCCGACGGCTCCAACACCCCCACCCAAGGTAGCGGTTGGAGCAGAGGGTGCTAAGAATCCCCAGATCTTAGAACCCTCTGCTAGATCAGGTTACAACAAAGAGCGACAAATGCGTATTACTTCATACAATGTGAGAACTCTTATGTCATACCAGAAGATGATTGAACTGACATGAAAAGACGAAGAGGAAAAGACCAAATTACTCTTAAATCGGGACACTTATTTCATTTTAGAATAGAATACACTTTAAATAGTACGGTAGGATTTATTATACATAAAAAACACACAAAGTATAATTAAAATTAGCAGCATAAGCGAAATAAGACGATGAGGAGACCTCTTTAATTTTAGAAGAGATGACAATACTTCAAATGTTAAAATAGGATTCATTATGCGTAGAAAACATACCCAAAGTGTAGTTAAAATTAACGGCATAAGCCCACGGATTGTATATAACTCACTCCCAAACTAAATGCAAGATATAACCTTAACGTAATCTAGACATAAGTTCCAACGACTACCCACTTAGATGAAGATATTGAAGATTTTTATGAGGATATAGAAACAACATTACATTTTTCTACAAACTCATTATAGACAACTCCGCCTCTGGTAGATACTGGGTGAATCGAGTAGCTCAGTAAATGCCAGTGCCGGTCCCAAGCCCGGACGAAGGAGGAGGGTTACAGCGGTAGGTTAGCTCCCCGCCCTGCGTAAAAGAAATAGTGCTAAAAATCCCAAAGAACAGCCTCGGAACTCGGATGGCTTCAACGGAAAACGACATAGGCAAAGAAAAAGGCTAACGAATTTTGGATGTTGGAACATACAAGGACTGAATACAAAAGAAGACCAAGTATTTAAGGAACTCAGTACATACCGAATTGACATCGCAGTACTCAGCGAAACAAAAAAGAAAGGACAGGGGAACCACTACAAAGACGATTATATATACTTCTGGAGCGGAGTAGAAAAATCAAAAAGAGCCAAAGCTGGAGTAGCGGTCGTGATAAGAAAAAACATGGAAAAATGTATTACCAACTGGAACCCGATAGACGAAAGAATTATAACAGTAGACCTTACAACAAAGGGGAGAGACATAAAAATAATTGGCATCTATGCACCCACGGACGACTCAGATACAAACACTAAAGACATGTTCTTTGACAAACTCTCAGAAGAGTTAAATAAAATAAAAAAAAGGCAAGAAATAGTCCTGCTAGGGGACCTGAACGGAAGAGTAGGTAAAGCTCTTGACAACAAAATAATTGGACAACACGGAGAAGATGTAGTAAATGAGAACGGAACAAGATGGTTGGAGGTATGCGAACAACATTCGTTAAAAATACTGAATGGATTTTACAAACATAGAGACATAAATAAATATACATGGACTCAAAAGACAAGAAAACTGCAGTCAATTATAGACTATATAGTAGTTAAACAAGAGACATCTTTAAGACCCTACGATGTAAAAGTTTGGAGAGGGGCAGAATGTGGTTCGGATCACCTACTAGTAAAGGCACCCGTAGAAATAAGATATATTAAACAAAATAAATCCCAAGAACAGACAAACAAAGAATCCACAAGGCTCTATAACATAGACAGCTTAAAAAATGAGTCCACAAGTTTTCTTTATAAACTACGTTTGGCATAAAAATTAGACGAAGAAATAAACGGAACAGCGGAAGAAATGTATGAGACTTTGAAAATCAAAATTCATGAAGCAGCATTAGAAGCTCTAGGTACGAAAGAAAAAGTAAAACGTAGAAATTATTGGTGGACAGAAGGTTTATTAGAACTGGCAGAAGAAAAGAAAAAACTGTATCTCAAATGGTTAGCGACAAAAGATGAGGAAGACCGAAAGAACTATAACAGATACAAATATATAGTAAAAAAGGAAATTAAAAAAACAAAAAACATAACCTGGAACAACAAGTGTGCAGAAATAAGCTCAATGGTAGGAGGATCTAGGTCCAGACAAGCTTGGAAAACTATCAACAGTCTTAGAAAAAATACAAACGAAACAAAAAAAATAAACCCCATAGACATAGAAAGATGGAAACATTATTATGAAAATCTATTAAATGAACAACGTACACAGTTTCTAGACACACAGATAGATAGAGTTGAAACGGGGTTAAATGAAGTGGCGATGATTACCGTAGAAGAAATAAAAAACGCATTACAAAAAATGAAAAATAATAAAGCTCCTGGGCCGGGTGATTTACCTATCGAGTTATTCAAACATGCCACTGCAATAACATTGGAATTGCTTTGTAAAATGTTTAACAAGTGCCTACAAGGAGAAAGTATCCCAAGAGATTGGAAAGTCTCGTACATAAACTCCATCTACAAAAAGGGAAACAGGTGCAGTAATTACCGAGGTATCAGCATTACGTCATCCACTGGCAAACTGTATGAAAGAGTTCTGAAAGCCAGAATAGAAAAAGAAGCCACAGAGATCGAAGAACAAAGTGGATTCCGACCAGGGAGATCTTGTGTCGACAATGTATTTACTCTCAAACATCTAACGGAAAAGAGATTAGCAAGAGGACTAGAACTTCATGCCACTTTTATAGATCTCCGTAAAGCGTTTGACTCCGTACCACTGCAGAGACTATGGACAACATTGGAAAACGCAGGTATAAATGCAGTATATATAAATGCCGTGAAAAAGCTATATCAAGATAACCAAGCTTATATTAAGGTTGGAAACCAAATTTCCAAGGGTTTCACCCAAACAAAGGGTGTCAAACAGGGCTCTTGCCTCTCCCCAACCCTATTTAAAATATATCTTGGTAATGCTTTAAAATATTGGATGAGAAAATGCAGCCCAATGGGCATATGGGTAAATGACACTCCTATATACACAATCCTCTTCGCAGACGACCAGGTAGTTCTTGCCGAGGACCTACAAGATATGACGTACATGATAAACAAACTAATAGACGAATTCAAAAAATGGGGATTAGAGGTTAATACCGAAAAGACACAATACATGAATATAGGAGGCATCGGTCAAGACATGGAAACAGAAAGCGGATTAATTAAAAACGTTGATCAGTACGAATATCTCGGAGTTACACTAAGCGAAGACGGGAGAGACGACAAAGATATAACAAGAAAAATAGGAAAAGGAAAAAACATGATAAAAACACTACATCCGATCCTGTGGAATAAAACTTAAACTAAGAAAACAAAGAAAAATATATATCAGGCTATGATTCAGCCGGTGCTGACGTATGGGTCAGAAGTGTGGGTCTTTAACAAGAATATGTCACAAAACTCCTCTCAACGGAAATGATGTACTGGAGAAGATGTTCTGGGTTAACTTTGTTTGAGCACATAAGAAATGAAAACATAAGAGAGAGAATGAAAGTAAAGAACACAATAATGGATACGATAGCCGAAAAACAATTAAAATGGTATGGACACCTGAGACGGATGAACGAAGAAAGGATACCACGAAAGGTTTGGAACTGGAGACCTACACAGAGAAATAAAAGGGGAAGGCCAAGAAAGAAATGGATATCCAATAATCATATAGAAATGGAAAATAGAGGTCTTCAAGAAAAAGACTGGGCCGATAAGAAATTATGGCGATTGGGATGCGAGAAGCGACAAAATTAAAGTTGCAAACACTCGCTATATATATATACTCATAGACGACTTTAATGCGAAAATGGGCTTCAAACAAGATTATACAGAAGTAACCATGAGCAAGTATGGATATGATTAACTCTTTTCTCGATAAAAAGCCTCAACGTAAATGGACATGTATAAGCCCAGATGGTAGTTTCAAAAATGAGTAATTGTTTTATTACACAAGAAAGTAGACATAACAGACCTAGAAAATTACCGTCCTATCAGTTTGCTATCACACACAATAAACTTTTCACAAAAATTATCAAAAACAAACTGGGGGCTAAGTTAGACTTGTATAAACCCGGAGAATCAGCTGGATTTAGATCGGAATACAGCACTAACGAGCATTTACTAGTGACAAAGGATCTGATAGATAAGTCCACAGAATACAACAAACCATTGGCACTGACATTCGTAGACTATGAGAAAGCATTCGATATTATAAGTCAGCAGAAAATCCTAACAGCATTGACATATTATCGAATAGACCATCGCTGCACTAACATAATTAAACTCATCTACCAAAATGCCACGGCTAGCGAAAAACTGAACAAGAAACAAATAAATTCTGTATACAGTTAGGAGTACGGCAAAGAGACACCGTCACGACAGCTATTCACGAAAATTTTAGAACGTAATTGTAAGAAGGTAGATTTGAACGAGTATGGTATCAACATAAATGGAGAGAAGCTGTCATTTGAGATTCTCATATGACATTGTCCTTGCCGATATTATGGATGATACAATATTCTAATGTTAAAAACATGATATCACGCTTCCTTGGAGGTTGGACTAAAGATCAACATGAGGAAGACGCAAATAATGACTAATCTGGTGCTAAATCGTAATATTGCTGGAAAGGATATTGAGCAGACTACGTCATATAATAGGGCATGAAATTCTATAGGACGGAGATAACCAGACATGTGAGCTCCCACGTAGCATAGGATTAAGCTGGGCAACGTTTGATAAATTAAACTATGAATTTAAACCTGACCTACACATATGCCTTAAAAGAAAAATATTTGACCAGTGTCTGTTGTCTGTACTCATCTATGGGGTGGAAACATTTACACTCACAAAAAAGGTAGTAAACCTTTGGAGTGCCAGGTGTTGGATGTCTCTACTGAATCCCAAAGGAAGAAGTATGTAGTAGAACAAACACAACAGATGCTATCGATAAAATCACGTCGCTAAAATGGAATTGGGCAGGGCCCGTCACCAGATTCTCTAAAAACCGATGGATAAGACGTATTGTCGCGTGGAGGCTAAGACGTGTTGTCGAGTGCAGACCAAGACCAGAAGCTTCTTCTTTAGGTACCGTCTCCTCTAAGGAGGTTGGTAATCATCACAGCTATTTTCACTTTTTGAGATTGCAGCTCTGAACAAGTCGATGGAACTGCAATAGAAGATGCGTCTTCTTCCAATACTTCGTTTTCCCTGTATTTTTCCCTGCATTATGGTTTGTAGCAACACATATTTATCCCCTCTCATAACGTGGCCGATATATTATAACTTTCTTATCTTAATCGTATTCATGATTTCCATTTCCTTTGTCATCTTTCTGAGGACTTCAACATTTGTTATTCGGTCTACCCAACTTATTTTTAATATTCTCTAATAGGTCCACATCTCGAATGCTTCAAGTCGATCGCTCACCTCTTTCTTTAAGGTCCAGGCCTCCACCCCATACAGCAGCACCGAAAACACATATGAACGTAATATTCTTATTTTGAGTTGCAAACTAAGGTCTTTGCTACATAATACTTTTCTCATCTTATTAAATGTTGCTCTTGCTTGTCCAATTCTCATTTTTATTTCTTTTGTATACTCGTTATTTTCATTAATAATTGTACGAAGATATCTGTATTTTTTTACTTTTTCTATTTTAACCCCTCTTATGTTTAAAATGTCTTGTTGTGTTTTGTAAATTGTCATAAATTTTGTTTTATTAGCATTAAGCGTTAGTCCGCTTTCCTCACTAGCATTTACTACATTATCTAAGAGTGAGAGACCAGACGCACTGTGGAGCAAAGGCCGCCCACCAATCAGATGGACTGACAACCTGAAGCGTGTTCGCAGTAACTGGATGAATGCCGCACAAAACAGACATACGGAAAGAGCTGAGGAAGATTTTTATCCAGCGGTGGACGCGTACAGATTGATGATGATCATGAGATCACATTGTATAGAGGTTATGATGAAGTTTTAACTCTGAGTGATCATGTTTATGAAGTTTATAACATTTCTGACAAATAGACCCGCTGTATATATAACAGAAGTAGGAAAAATTACTTAAAGGTGTTGTATATTACTTTAATTTTATTAAATTTGTCTTTTAAAGAAATCAAATAAGTATGTCTAAAAGTTTTCTTCTAATGCTTCTATAATTCTTCTTCTTCGGCCCTGTCGGATACTTTTCTTCGCCACTGCCTGATGTTCATGGTTGTAAGATCTTCCTCTACATCGTTGATCCACTTTTTACGGGGCTCTTGTCTTATTTCCTCGTAAAAGATGAGAAGAAAATATCATCGAAGACGAATGGAATATCATCCAAACGACAATTACCGATACAGCAAGGTAAACGTTAGGCGAAACGTCAAGCAAAAGAAATGAGAAATGGTTTGATTAAGCTTGTCTCAATAAGTAATACAAAACAAAGATATAGGTAGGCAGAAATATGTACAAAGGAATTCCCGATCGAATAGAAGGACATATGAAGATGTTTAAAGTTATGATTATACGAAGTTATGTTATTTATAACCAACATATTGGTTTTTAATTTTTTGGTCTATCTCGATTTTAAATATGTTATTTAAAACTATCCCAGTGTCCCCTATCTACTTCTAATACGTGCCTCTTATCTATCCTCTTATCTAATTAATCACATTGTATAAACAATAATGTATTCACATAGATGAAATGTTATTTTAGGGAAAACAAATTACAAGACCAAGTACACCTTATTAAAGGACAGTTAGAAAAATTAAATTTACCAGTGGAAAAGGTGGATATTTTGGTGTCGGAATGGATGGGTTACTTTTTATTGTTCGAAGGAATGTTAGATAGTGTTGTTCATGCAAGAGATACATTTTTAAAACCGGATGGGCTCATTTTACCAAATAGATGTAATATAAGTTTAATAGGAGTAAGTGATATAGGTAAGTCGAAAGAGCAAGAAAGTATTGTTTTACTTTTTAAATATTTAATTTTATAGATTATTTTAGCATTTTTCATACAAAAAGAAATTGATGGGATTCTATAGTCGTGTTTAAAAAAATTAAAACTTTTATTCACACACACATTTAAATAGAAAAGAAACCATTCTATACTACGTTCCACGTTAAGAAAATAACATTGCGGAGATAGGGCAATGTATTTCTTATGGACAATAGAAACGCGGCGTTGCCACGACACACACAAGCACAATTTAGGGTCCACAGACTTGAATTAAATTACTGTTTTTTTACGTAATTGACCAAAAGTGCCCATTCGAAACAAGAGATGAAAAGTAGGGAAAATGATTTTAATTAGATAAATAGTATTTACAAAAGATTATTTTATTTTATTTTAATTATAGTAACGACAGTTTATTTGTTTTTCGGTGAGCCATGAATCATAGAAATCAGTAGAAAATATTGCTTAGTTAAATCATGTATTTTGCAGCCTATTAAAGTTTTAAAGGCAAATAAACGGACTTGGAATGCGTATATCTAATTACTAATTGTTTAGTAATTCTAATGACTAATTAAAATAATACGATTTGCGTATGTCAGCGATTTTATGTCGTTCTCTGACTACATAATGATAATAAGGCTTTTATTTTGTAGTTATTCTGACTTTACAGTTAAATGTTAATTGAAAATGAAAATTCAAAAATTAAACAAAGGGAATATTTTGAACATCTGTGCAAAAGAGAGTGTCTGAGAGTTTTGGCAACACTGATCTCCATAAGCGTAATGTTATTTTCTTAACTTGAAACAAAGAATAGTAAATATCTTTTAATTCACGGTATAAGAGGAACGTATCTTAATGTAAAGAAAGAAATGCTAAGAATAAATAAAGGGAAAAGGGGAGACAATGGGACTCAGATTAAATCAAGAAAAGACTAAAATATTACGATTGGGGAAAAAACAAAAAAAGAAAAACCAAAATAAGGTGTTCAGAATTCGAAGAAGTAGAACACTTCAAATACCTTGACAAAAAAATTATATTGGCAGCAAATAAAGCTTATTTTGCATACAAAAGATGCCTTAAGTGTAAAATACTGACTAAGAAAACTAAGTTGAACATATATAAAACAATAATTCGACCAATATTATTATACACAACAGAAAAAATATCCAAAATGGACTTGGGTAGCACCAAATGGAACCACTAAGCACGAAATTGTCTTCATTCTAACCAACAAGATTGCTACAATAAAAGATGCCAGTGTAATAAATAAATTTCAAATAGGCAGCGACCATAGACTAATCAGAGCAACAATTAAAACTAGAAAGAATAAAATTAACTACCAAACCAACAGTAACTGGTACAAATATTAACAATCTAAAAGAAAACTCAGATTACTGCCAAAGGACAATTGATGAAAGATGACCAAATCGACAGCTCTCAATGAATGGAAATCATCTTTGATAGTGCCAAAGAATTCGGAGGCACGCAAGAACAAAATGGCCATACGAAACTGTCTACTAAACTAACATAATGCTAAAACAATTAAGGGAAATGAAAGTAAGTAGCAACATACAGGTAATACAATACACAGAACTTTGTAAGATAATAAGGAAAAGCACTAAGAAAGACATAAGAAAATACAATGGCAAACTGGTAGACAATGCAATCTAAAACAGTAGAAACTATATGAAAACAAGAAAAGCATCAAATATCGAAATTCGTTCACATAAAAAACTACTAGGGCTCTCGGTAAAGGTTTAAAATAAATATTTATTTGAGAATATAAAAGAGAAAAGAAATTTTTCGGCTTACCTCGTCATGAGACCACTCAAACAAAATTTCTTCCTGTCTGCTGGACGTTCAAAGAGAGAGAGAGAGAGAGGGAGATGAATGGCCGGGAGTTTACGAACGCTTGGATTTTGAGGCCAAGGACGGAGCTATTAGGAACCAGAGTTGGATCCTTGAGGTAATTTAGATGCACTTGGCGAATAGATGGCGTGAGCAACATTGACTTGAATAGTTACTAGGAATTTTCATAATAAATTTTGAAACTTTGAAAAAAACTTTGAATCTTTTGAAACGGTTACAACACTTCCAAAACCCTGGGGTTTAAATCAGATCAATAAGGACAATTCAATTGTGACGATTTACAGTTTCGTTTTTAAAAAAAGTGCATTAATCGGAGAAGCAGATATTAAAGAGAAACTGATGATCTGTCATGTTGTAAACAGCGGTCATAATCATTCTCATTTCATTAAGCGTATTTTATATGGATGGAGTTCTTCAAAACGTTTTGGACGCTACTGCGTTTGATTCCAGATACAGCTGCTAGTTGCCTCGTACTTAACATGGGATCTAGGTGAACATGTCTTAACACTGTTAACTGTAGGCCCTTTATTTAGTTTTCCGTTTTTTATTACCTAAATTCCCAGTTTCCTGAAATTTATTTACTAACTCCAAAACATGCTTCCTATTGACATGTTTATCTTGATGTCGTTCATTAAATTGCTAAGCGGTCATATAGACAGATTCATTTTTAATAGAATACAAGAATATAATCGAAATTACCGGTAAAATGGGTCCCTCTTTAATCATAAATTGACCTGTCGCTGGGTTATTAAAAAATGTTGTAGTTCCTGATAATGCCTATGTTTCTTTTTCGGTTGTCTACCCTGTTTTAATATTCTAACTTGCAATATATATATATATATATATATATATATATTATATATATATATATATATATATATAATGAACCAGAAGTATTTGCTGACCACGTAAGGAAGTAAACTTTAAATAGTGGGTATGCAGCAATAAAAATGAAAGGTGTACTCTTTTAAATTTTTATTCCAAGCTTTCGGACATTGGTTATGTTCTTCATCAGGGAGCTACAAATGTGATGAATAATTTTTACAAATTTGTATAATTAATTAAAAATTCGATACTTACAAACTTAATGAGGTTGTCTCATAAATGATTTTATAAAAATTGTTGATAAAATTTATCACAGTCTGTTGAGCTAAAACCTATTCCTATATTTAAAATTTTAAAAAAATTACTTAACATTCACACAAACTTAATTATTTATACACAAATCTATGACATTGATATTGACATTGGCAAGTGAAAATCTCACATCCTAATATCAAGCAACTGCTAGTACAACAAATTATAGGCTTATTATTAGGTATATCGTGGAAATATATATTATTTTATATTTGTTAATATCATTAGGAAGTGAAACTTCAACCTGTCAATGTTTTAAAACAAAGCCTATTAAATTAACATAAACAAATAAGGTCGTAATTCTAAAAACGTTACAATTTATTATGATTTTGTTTTGTATGACCCCAGTATCTGTGTGTAAACAAAAATTATTAAATTTAAACAAACTAACTTTGTAAAAAAATAAATTCCTCAAAAATGAACTTTTTAATTACTTAAATGTCAATTGATAAATTATTGTTTGTCTTATTGTTGCATTTATCTAGTAGTAACAAATAGGAGAACATTTCATTTAGATGGCCAATATCTGTTCTATGATTCATTGCATAATTATTTTGGCAAATGTAGGCCATTTCCAGAAAAAGTCTTTTGGTGATGTTACTTTCCTGTTCTACTACTTTGATGTTATTGTAGTTTATCCGATGCCCATTTTTAAATGCATGTTCACCCAATGCACTTCTTTCAGGATGTAGTCTATTATCAGACTTGTGGGATGTAATGCGGTCTTTAAGGCATCTTGATGTTTGACCATAGTATACTTGTTCACATGAGCCGCACGGTATACAATAAACAACATCCGTTAAGGATAAAAGTGCGGATTGGTCTTTAAGTTTAGAAAAAACTTTGTTAACTGTTAGTACCGTTTTATATGCAATTTTGATATTATTAATTGATGAAAAAATTCTACTTAGTTTATGCCCAATGTCCTTAATGTATGGAAGAGATACATATCTAATTGTGGTAACAAAAATTTTACAAATCAGCTGCATAATTCAAATTTAAGGCAATCACTCCAGGCAACGAAGGAAAAATAAACAAAAACATTATTACTTCAGAACTTTAACTAAAGTTAATAGTTAAAGAAATATTAAATAAAATAAATATATCAGCAGGATAATTAATAATAGGATTTGACAAAATAACAGAATAAAAGGATTTTACATCAAACATTTTACGTTTGATATTAAATTAAAGTCATAATCAAAACATTTTGTTTACAAACCAAATTAAGAAATAGTTAAACTAAATATCATAGCTTTTTGTCAAAGTAATTGTTTGATATGTCCATCATTTTCTTTAATTAATTTGTCAATATATTCCATAAAAGATCGTCTCATTTTAAATAGCATCATTGGTTTTAAAGAAACTGCTGCAATATTCATTTCTTTCCATAGTTGGTTGCGAATGTTTATGGGATTCTTATATACACGGTATTTTAATGTGCCCCATACCCCAAAATCAAGCGGAATAAATTCTGGGCTACGTGGTGGCTGTAATATATAATGGATAAATGTATTCTTTTGGATATATAACCAAATCTTATGGTACATTATGGACCTCCATCTTATTTGTCGCAGGTGTTTAATAATGTATTCAACTGTGATGTATCTCGTTAATTGTTTACTTATATATACACGGAATAACCTATCGATGACATTACTTGTTTATATGATTACATTACAGCTTACGACTAACTATAATTACATCTCGAACAAATAGACTATTATGATTTACTAACGAACAAATAGTATGCTAAACTAAATTGCCTGTGTGTTTATTATATTTATAACAGTGTTGGTTATTAGACAACGATGATATTTTGTAAAACTGTTGATTCTTTAAGGTTGGATTTGTAGCAAAAAGTATTATGAAACAAGAAACATATGTGTTATTCAATACTTGTCCTCCAGTGTCTTAATAAAAATAGGCAAACAATTTACGTAATGAATAATAAGTATTCTTTTGGATTCTTTATGAATTAAATACTTATATCAATATCTCACCACATTGCCAAGGATTATGACTACCACGACCAATCCAACGTTCAGAAATCTCTAGGTTGTGTTGTTGTAACATCTTGCATAAACATATTTTGGCTTTTCAGCATTTTACAATAGAGAAAAAGTAAGACAACGCCAGTACAGAAACTTAAGAAGCGATAGAAAAGGGAAATTTTAAACATGATAACGGCCAACGTCCGAATACGGACACGCGACCTAAAGAAGAAGATGAAGAATATTTTCTGCAATAAGACATTTAGTAACTAAATCAAAAGATTTTGTGATGTTACATTGTCATCTTTGAGTTGTTTTAATAAGAATAAACTATGAGTTATATCTATGCGATTATCTCGAAAACGGTTAAATTTTAAGGTTACTGACAAGTATACCTTTTCGTTTTAAAAATAATGTATCTTTAATATTTTTTAACACAAATAGAGCTAACTTAAAGAGCAAAAAGTTAGGCGCAAATTTATGACACACATGTGGCATATGTGACGCCCTCTATCAGTTACGGTAAAGTATGTATAAAATAATTTATCTTACTTAAAAGCATCCGATTGTAACTTTTTGTCCAAAATATTTACAAACGTAAAAGTTATAGCGATAAATAAAATTTTTTAAATTTCCACTTTAACATCCCGTGTCTTTCTTAATATTAAAATTTTATTAAAGTAAGTCGGCTTAAATCGTAATATTTTAAAGTGCATAATATACGGTTTCTGTTTGTACAATTACTTAAGGACCACCCTGTATATATGTATGTTCTAACTTGCAATACTATTTTGTTATTTATGTTATATTTTTTTAGATAGATATAATTCTGTAATCAATTTCTGGGACGACGTGTACGGCTTTTCAATGAAATGTATGAAACCGGATGTCCTTCAAGAACCATTTGTCGAAATAGTTCCTGTAGAAAAACTTCTGACTGACAGTCAAGTGGTCACTGAAATAGACATAAAAACGTGTGATATGAACGCCTGCGTATTTAGGTAGGAAAAACATTTTTTATGACTATTTTAAAAGTATTTTATGAATCAATGAGTAGTTGGTAAACGTGATAGTGTGAAAATAAGAAACTAATGCACAGTACACTAATTGTTCATAGACCAAAAATAATTCAAGTCAACTGTAAATTGGTCACATTCTTTTATAAAACAATTATGAACCGTTTAAATTGTTTAGTTTATGTTTTCAGTCCTTTTATATACGTTTTGTGTTTTAAAAGATCAATGATGCTGGAAGCTGAAAATGCTACCAGTGCTAAATTGTTACCAAAAATAAGGCAAAGTATAGTACTGCATGATTATATACGTGGAAATCTCTAGCAGTTACCTCTAGTAACATCATAAGAAATCAAATTGACTGAGCTTTACATAAATGCATGTAGTTCTATATACAGATTGAACGAGTTAAATTCGGAACATAGAAAATATATGTGTTTCGGCTCAACTCCGGTCTAGGTGGCTGGCCAACAAAAGGTTGTCAAATAATTATATTATAAAAATCCAATACTTCAGCAGGTTGCTGGATTCTGAACTAATTCAAGAACTCATTCATAGGTGGTCAAACCACCTATCGCTTCCTAAAGCCGGCCACTCACAGTACAGCGGTGTCGTTCGACATAATCGGGCAGAGGCGTTGTTCAATTTGTTGGTATATCTGGTGCGCCCACACCATACTGCGCCGCAGTATTTGTTCGGTTCTCGACTATGTCAAATCAAACAATCATTTTAGCGTCTCTTACTTTGTGTATAACTAAGCGTAAAAAGAAACCTAAAATAAAACGTAGATTCTGGTGCAAAGAATCCAAGATTTTATAGGATGTTCTAAAATTGTTTATTTTTTTTTCTTACATACTCTTTATTCGCATCTTTGTTTACTTCTTGGAACTTTAAAACTAGAATGTCCATTTACTGTTTTCGGGCGTTTCTATCGTGATACGTTTTACCTTTTATTCGCTATAATCATTCTTGTATTTTATATAATTCAAAAAACTCTCTTAAAAAATTCTCGCTAAATCAAGCCATTTCGATTTTCTATGTAAGTGTGTAGTTAAAAACGAAGTTGAACAACGCCGCTGTATCGTGAGTGGCCGGCTTTAGGTAAGCCCCTCTTTCGTTTATCGGAGATGGAGATTTTGAGCGGTATTGTGAATATCATTCCTCTAGATGTTTCTAAAATAACTACAAACTTCTGAAATAACTACAAACCATTAAATTTATTTTTGTTATTAGTCTGTTGTAGTAGATTGGTAAATACAATGAAAAATATAGGCAAATATACGATCTATTTTAAGATACGAAGAAGATATAACTCTCAAAAAGATCCGCAAATCGGATTATTACACGGCGATTGGCAAAATTGACTTTGAGCTGCGCTCTAGACTATGGTGCGTTCTAAAAGGAGACGGATAGTTGAACGATATTTTATACAATGTCTAACACCGGGTATGGATTTATTTTTGTCCAAGTTTTATATTGGTCCACTATTTCAAATGCAGTTCAAATAGACATATATTAAATTGTATGATCCGTTTTAAATTCGTTTAATCTGTATGTTCTAAGAGAATTTATGAATGCACTGTTAATATTTGACAGTTAACAAATATGCCATTAATTTCTTTTGTGACTTCATCAAAGTACTGCCAGTTACCATTTTTAATAATATGCTTAGTGAGATAGTTTATTATTTTAGTTAGTGCGCGAGAACTTTTAGTTACATTTAAAATGCCAAGGTTAAGACTGTCTGACTTGAGTCGTCGAAGTTAAGCAAATATGTGACGACCTGCGTCATGTACTGACCGCATTGATGAGCAACGATACACTTCTTAGAGTGCCGTCTTCCTACGGAGATTAGCAATCATAATTACTATTTTTATTTTTGAACTTGCTGCTCTAAAAAAATCAATCGATCTGCATTGATGTCAATCACGTAGATTCTTCAACCATGAGTTCTGCTTTCGTTCAACAGATCTTCTTCCTTTTATCTTTCCCTGTATTATGAGTCTCAAAATTTCATATTTTGGTCCCCTCATTACGTGGCTTAGATATTCTAGTTTTCTGGTTTGTATAGTGGTGATTAGTTCTGTTTCTTTACCAATCCTCTCCAGTACTTCTTTATTTGAAATTCTATCAGTCCATCATCATAAGTGCCTTGACAATCCGTTGTAGATCTTTGCCTGCTCACATAGAAGACGCCACTCCTGTCGATTACTGGCAACCTCCCTCCATCTTCTAACCCTTAGAATCTGTAGGTTTAAGTCTCAGCTCCTTATAATAATATTGAAAATATATAACAGCGAATGGTACGTAGTCTGATCTCCAAATTTAGACTTTTGCACGTTAATACTGATCTGGCAATCTCTATGCGCCTGTTTATTTCTGAAGTATGATCATTGGTTTCATTGATCAAAGTTACAGAGTACTGATATTTTTCTACTTGTTCTATCACGTTACCATTGATTGTCAATAGGTGATGTATATTTTGTGGTCTTTTTGTAATTAGCATGTACTTCGTTTATTTAGCGTTTATAGTAATTAAACTTTGAGGGTATACAAGGCAACTATCGAACACGGTGATTAATTTAATCTTGCCCAAGTACTTTCGATCAATAGATCATCTTCAGGGGCATTTCGTCAATTGTGGCCTATCCGACATAGTAGAATGTCATAAATGTAAAATTTGGACATAACAATACAAAATACAATACACTAAGACAAACAAACACTTTAAAATTTATATGGAGAAGCTACATATTGTATAGAAGCCGGAACATTCTGTCTCCGGCTGTATATATATAAACCGAATGTATATATATATATATATATATATATATATATATATATATATATATATATATATATATATATATATATATATATATATATATATATATATATATATATATATATATATATATATATATATATACACTAAAAGCCAAATAAAGTTGCGTGCACGTCACCAATGTCGTAATTCTATTGTATGTGTGGCTACATTTCTATAGAAAAGTGTATGTTACTTTAGTTTGCTAAACAATCACTTTTAAAAATAACCCGATCAATAAAAAAACTTTTGTGTCAAAATAATGTATATACAGCTATGTATATATAGCTTTTTTGGATTTAGAAGTCCGTCATTGTAAAATTTTGTGTTGAAATGTTCATGAAGAAACCACCAATTATTGACGGAGTATTAGTCACTACCAGAAATATTGTCATGTTGCCACGTCGTTTGTTGAATTTTCAATCAGTGGTCTGTGACTTTTGTACTCGTGGTATCGTCGATTTTTAAGGTTATCTTGTGAAAAATATTTATTTACTTGTCAAAATGCCCAAACAGCTAAATAGTCGATGCAAAGAACTTGTGGCTTCATTAGTTAACTATTTTGAAGAAGAAAGGATTATTAATGGCTCTTTGTTACCCTTAAACGCTGTACAAGAGGTAATATGCGAATAGAATATCATTACTTTACTTTACAAAAATTTGTATGATTTTAGCGTGTAGCTGCTGCTTTAAAAATCAGCGTAAGAACAGTAAACAGCATATGTGCATATGTCAAATGTAGAAAAAAGGTGAACAGTTCGAGTCACCAAAGAAAAAGCGTTGCACTAATAAACGAGTAATTTATTGTTTGGTAACTCAGTAATAACTTTGCCACTTTTATTGTGAAATTACTTACTTTGTGAAATCTAATCATGAATGTAATTAACAAAAAAATAAATGAAAAAAACACTCATTTTTAAATTCCACTTAATATTGTTTAGAAAGATTTATCCCACATAGGAAAAGTCCATTGACGAAAAAGAAGAAGTAGTTCGAGAACATTCAAGATGACATCGAAAATTCTTGAAATGTCTAGTTCAAAGAAAAAGTTTGGAACGTCAGAACATATGTATATAACAGATGTTTTTGACAGTTGGGGAACATATGTATTTTGAATGTAGAAGTTTATAGTTGTCAGTTAGTTAAAAGTATTTTTATATTGTTGGTGTTGAATAAAGCTAAGTTTCAAGCAGTGTAACAATATAGTGTGAAATTTGCTATCTTCACCTTTTTTGTTTATTTAAGTTCTTTTCTGTTAATTTTCATACTTCATAAACCATCTGACAACGCTGCAAATGTTCACAATGATGACGTGAACGCAACATTATTTGGCTTTCACTGTATATAAATAGATATAAAAACGATACATAGAAAATGATAATACTCGTATTTGCATGTCAAAATTGCGTTTTAGAGTGAAAGAAAATGAAGTGTATATCCTACGAATGAAACGAGATCATTGGAATTGCCTGGACACCCATCGAACAATCTACAATTAAAAGTAGGATCAGTTGTCATTATAATGTGTAAAATTAATCAAACTAGACTTTGCAACGGAACGAGACTGACTGTGAAAACGCTAATGAATATTGTCATTGAGAAAACGATTATCAAGGGAAAATACAAAGGAGAGTTCTTGTTCCCGTAGACGTTTCTGTAGACGTGGGTCTACAGATCTAACATGGGGACATTTAGATAAAAAATAATTGAGAATTGAAACGTACCTACCAATGTAAATAGACAGAATTTGGTACAAAAAGAAAGAGAAAAATAAAGTCCGTCGCCTTGTCCTTTTTCGAGGGACAAGGAAAACTCGACACTTAACATATGAGAAGATTGGTTTAAGAAAGATTAAAAAAATTACGCTAAACTTCTCTTTAAAACCAAAATGCATCCATAGTTAAAAATGACTAGAAACAAATACACTTACCTCATATGGTCGCTCTACATTTCTGTCAGAATTATGGTATTATTTCCCAACAGAAAAGAAGAGTATTAAAGAAATTAAACAGTACAAATTTTTAGTAACAAGCTTTTTTTTGGTTTCACACTGTAACATATATTTAACTGGACATAATGGGTTATATTTTAGATACAAATGTCCATTCCAAATTAATATGTTTTTACATATTATTATCTATTGTTAATTATGCATTTGTTTTATTTACCTGGTAAAACTAGTGAAAATATTTGCGTTAAGGATAATAGTTTATTGCTATTAAATATTGAATAATATCATATCAGTGCGGTGCCAAAGTGATTATTCAATATTTAAAAGCAATAAACTAGTTATACAAAATTTGATTGTTGACTGTTAATCTTTTTCTTTTTCGCTAATAGCCATACACTCTGATGCGAGTTTGTAAATAATAAAAAAATGATAATCTCCTCATACATAATTATTTAAAAAAATATATTAAAATTTATCGTGGAGATTATCATATCATGATATTCAGTGATGAGAATTTTTACTTCTTGTAAACTAATACAGGTTTTATGCTGTACATAAAAAATACAGGTTATTTAGAAACAGTGAAAAAAATTTACAGGGATAGGGGATATACCCTGCACAAAAAAAACGAAGCACTGTTCTGCACTAAATACATATGAAAAAAAAAATGGAAATAAAACCAGGTATACTTCTTTCGCTCACCATTAAAAAAATATTCAGCATTGCATATCGAATTGTTTTGACAAGCTAAAAGTTAAAAAAAAAACTTGCAACAAATTCTGTTTATTTTCATCTAATCAGCATGAACTTACTAACACTTAAAATCTATGAATTTTCGGTTCCTACTCTCAATCTGAAGTCGACCAACCCTCTTGGTCACTACTAGGAAAGTGAATTCATTTAAAAATTCATTCTCCCACGAGAATGAAATGGAAATTCCTTAAGTGGATTTTTATTTATTCTCTGTGGAGATAGTCGGTTTGAGTATCAGCATTTATTTTAAAATCTCTAGGTGTAACAGAGAAAAGACGACTTAAAAAGCAAGACACTTAGCAATTATCCTTAAAAGCACCAATCAACAAATATAAACAGACTTTTGAGTTTGTTTAGAATCATGCTTTTAAAACGCTAACCGATATGAACTATTGTCGATTATTATGGTTTACAGGGTGAAAAGAAAATGCTACCTAGTTTAATATATAATATAATTAATTAGATATAACTTTAAATATGAATAACTTATTTTTAGCTCAAAATTTAATTTGACCTCTGTACGAGACGGAATTTTAACGGCAATTGCAGGTTACTTTGACACATTTTTCGATTTGGAAAACAAAGTGGAATTTTCTACCGGACCAAATTCAACCAGAACACATTGGCAGCAAACCTTATTCTTTTTGCCAAATACGATAGATATGAAAGCTGGTAAGTGTTGCTTGGATTATATGTAATTTGATTTTATGCGGTTTTATTTTTTAACTTACTGGGTTCTTCCACTCTGTACATATTAATAGATTTCCGTCTAGGATTCCTATTGCATTCTCGACGTTAAGTTTCCATCTTTTTCTATTTTGTGTTGCTTGTAGTACACTCGCGAAGTTTTTATACAGTAGTTTGTCTAATGTTTAGTTAATCCTTTTGGTGATGACCTTCTATCTCTCTTTCTCTCCTTTTTCCCCAAATCATTTGTTACGGCCTATTGTCGATATGTCTGATGTGACCAAAAAATGTTAATATTCTTAAATATGGAGTTACATATGAAAATAAAATATAATGATAGATTGTAACGAAAATATTTTGCCTACCACATGGGGTAATAATACAAAGGGTAGAAAATTGGGGGGAGAAACTATCGGGGGTGGAGATAAGGCAAGCAAAATAAACGCTACTTATGCGAACGGCACTCAGGGTTTGGTAGGAGAGCTGGGGTCGTGAATAAGTAATAGATAAAGGGGTTAGAATGGGGCAATTACAAGAAAATGAAATAAAGGGGTCATTAATCTCTTGGAACAAACACAATAAAAATAAACAAGAAACACCTCAAGGAATTTAATATAGGGCGCCACTTGAGGTACCTAATTATACCTATTACAACCACTGGTTGTAACTAGGGAAATAATTAGAAAACAAATCAAAACATAAAAAACATCTTTTTCAAATAAGAATCAAAAAAGGTTTGGCTCAAAAAAAATAAATAAAAAGTTAAGACAACAAAATTTAACCTTTATTTATGTGTCACCACAAACAGTTACATGGAGAAAAAACAAAACACAAAAACTTAGATGTGTCATCCGCTTACAAACTCTGTTGCTACAAAACTTACAAAATTGCATGGAGGTTAACCTTTTTTTTTTTAAACAAAACAAAGTAAAGTCAAAAAATAATAAAACGAGCTGTCATAAATTAACAATAAATTTCAAAAAAACTAAACACATAAATTGACAGCTCAACTCAAAACCAAAAATTTACAATTTTAAATGTCAACGAAAGCAATTATTATTTCATAAAAAAAATTGTCTGTCTTTAGTTTAAAATTTGAACACAAAAAAAAAGTTACCTTGATTTTCATATTTCCACTTCACAAAAAGAACTTGTTATATCTCTGTAGCATCCATTCGGAGATCAGCAGCAAACACATCCATTTGGGGCTGAAACAGGAACAGGACATCCATTGGGGGCCGGAACACACCAGGGAAAACGGAAACTCTCAAAAAAAAACATGAACCCTCCAACAGGAATCAGACTTTTCAAAAATCTCGAAATATCGAGCGAAAACTTCACTACTCCCGGCAAATTAATGCCGGTCACTTCATACTGGACAAAATCCATCACTACTGCTACCCATTTCCACCACAATCAACGAAAAAACAGAAAATTTTACAAACTCGACATGAATTTGGACATAACGCTGAACCGCTCCTGCTCGCGGTTGATTTTAAAATTTCGTATACGAGGGGACTTCAATATACTTCAAAGAATCAATGAAATTGAAAATGCTACAAGATATATATGAAAAAGATAGGCGATAGGTTACCTTAACTTCTTTAATAACTGATGTGTGTATCCTTCTACGATAAAGATGGGAATATCATCACCAGCGGAGATGAATAACTAAGGGTAGTACAAGATTTCTATGCAGAATTATACAGAAATTAACAAAACCATGATGAACAACTAGCACAAAAATTAAAAAATTCAGGAAAAATATTAGTAAATCAAGAATCGGAATTGATGCCTGATATATCAGCAGACGAAATGAGGAACGCACTGAAGAAAAATGAAAAAAAAAGAAAGCCAAGATAGAAGATAATAGCGTTATAGAAGCCGTAAAGATGGAGGAGACAAACTTTTAGAGAATATAAAGAAAGTGTTCAACTTATGTCTGCACCAAAGTGAAACACTTTAAATCCCATGTGTACATAAATCAGATACACAAAAAAACTTCACATGAACACGTGCGAACATATCTGATACACACTAATACCCAATGTTTGAACATCTGTGTTCATCAGCTAAGCGCGCTAACTGTGCATTTATATGGATGTTTCAGTAGACTTGGGCTGTGGCCACTACATTTTAAGTTTAGTTCGAAATTTGGGGAAATAATTTGGGGGCAACAGTGGTATATAATATCAATGACCTCGACAAGTGTATGTTTTGTCTTGTTTGAATCGACAGTAGTTACTTATTGCAGTCTGAAGAGTAGTTATCGAGCGCTTCTCAATAGTTATGTCTAACAGTAAAACAAGGGAACTCGAAATAATAGCTGAAAATTTAAGTGAATTTGAATTGGAAGACGATGATGATTCTATCAATGATCCCTGGTATTCGGAAAGTTTAGAGAATTCTTATGAACAAATATATAAAAAACGAAAACATATTATTTACCTATGAAGAAAACTTTCGGACCGTAAAAGTCAAAATATTATGAGGTATTTCAGATACTACATATTTTTCTTATGACTGTGAAAAGGACTTTCTTATGACTTTGATTAAATAATCAAAATGTGAAAGGACATAATTCCACTAGTTCAAAGGTATGCTGACTTTGAAGTTGAAGAAAAAATTAAAATTAAACTTTGGACTTTTTTAGGTAAGTGGAAAGGCAGATTTGGATTCTGAAGAAGTCATTAACCAAATTACGCAATCGACAAGAAATTTAGAGACACGTGTTGTATGGGATGATGTTGTTGGTAATTTGAATGCTTTTCCGCTTCAGCAAAATAGTTCTCCAACTTTGAATGTTATAATTGTCAAGATGATAGTCCACTTTCATTTTATAAACTTCTACTGACGGAAGATATACTTGATCTTTTGGTAACCGAAACCAATATTTATACCGAACAACAAATTATTAATGGTATCATCAATGAATATGTAACACGAAATTAGTTTCTAACTAATTGGACTGATACAAATAAGAAAGAAGTTATATCATTTTTGGGCATTTGGGCTCATATGAATGGGCCTAAATCCAAGACTAAAAGACTATTCGAGTACAAATTTTGTTTACAAATGTTCCATTTATCAAAGTACACATATGTCAAGAAATAGATTTGAGGCACTCTTGGCTTCTCTTCATTTTTTAAATAATGAACTATGTCCCGAAAATAACCACCTTTTAAAGTTAAGTCATTAGTAGATATGTGTAATAGAAATTTTCAAACTGTTTATACTCTAGGGGGAGTATGTTTGCATCGACGAGTCAATAGTTCCATTTCATGGAAGGTTATCATTTTTACAATATATACCGGGCAAATGACACAAATACGGGATAAAAATATTTAAGTTGTGTGGACAATGAGAATATAATATTCAACATAAAAATCTACGCTGGAAAGCAAAGTAGACCAATTGATCAGCCTGTTTCCAGCCAAGTTGTAATGGAATTGATACAGCCTCTTCTTAAAAGTGGTAGAACATTAGTAACGGACAACTACTATACAAGTGTTGGTTTAGCCCATTTACTCAACGATAATCATATTCATTTGATAGGGACGCTGCGAAAACATATAAAATATAATCCAAAAGTGATCCTTTAAAAAAACTATCAAGAGAGGACATGATAACTCTTGAAAGCAACACAAAAGTTATTGTTGGTAAGTGGCTTGATAAACGAGAAGTTTGTTTTTTAACAACCAAATTTTGTCCAGAAATGATTACGGTACAGACACGGACGGTGGAATATAATTCAGTTAAGTCTTATATTGTTGTTTCGGATCAGAGATCATCTTACAGTAATCCTGTCTGCAGGTAATTCAAATGGTATCGTAAAGTAGGTATTGAAATCCTTACCAGTACTGCTGTTGTAAATGCACTAATCCTTTTTAATGCAACTTTGAACACTAAAATGGACATAACGACGTTCAGGAAAAAACTTGTTGCAGAAATGTGACTAAAACATGAACACGCAATAGTAAGAGAGATGTCACATAAACTCGAAGAATAAGACAAACGAGGGTGTTGTGTTGTATGCTACAGCCACTTTTCTGAGAGGTTCGGAAAAGCTCATGCATCCAAGAATTCTAAGCAGTGTAATACCAGGTGTACAGGTTGTCTTGAGAAAAAGTTTATGTGTTCAATTTTTTTTAAGATACATAATGTTACCCTAAAATAGTTACTTCCTTTATTTAAACATTAATGTGTAATATTTTCAATAAAAACATAATAAAAACCTGTGTATCAATTTTAATACACATAGGCTATTTGGTTTGTAATCGGTATTTTCGTGGCTTGTGAACCGTGTGTATCGAATTTGAACACAGCCTAAATATTCCTTAGAATAATAAAATATGGCAATATTTTAAATCACCATTATATACATATATCTTAGTGTAACATTTTAAGCCGCAACAACAAAAAAAATATCTTGTGCTGAGTGGATAATTTTTTGAAATAGGCCCTGTGAGTTAAAGTGTTAACAGCGTAATGAGAGCGTTGGAGGAAAGTCGTATAGATGATCGGTACTCCAAACTTATTGCGAATATATACAATAATGCAACCATGACAAGGATACACAAAGATACAAAATGTATTAAAGCCAAAAGAGGAATCAGTAAAGGAGACACGTTATCTTTCAAACTATTTACGGCAGCTCTGGAACATGCTTTCAAAAAATTGGAGTGGGATGCCAAAGTAATCAATTTTGACGGCGAAATGCTCTCCCACCTACACTTTGCGGAAAACATTGTTCTGAGAACAGATAACTTAATAGAGATTGGAACTATGCTTACTGAGTTAGATGCTACCAGTAATGAAGTTGGTTTGAAGATACATTTTGGAAAGACACAATACATGACAAATCTGGTACCAAGCGAAAATCCAAAACTCGACTGTAACGAAATAGAATTATCATAAATAGAATTACTTATGTCATGAAATCTAAATTGCTAGGGACAACTAAACTGCTGAACTGTAAAGAAGAATCACTTTTTTGAAGAGCGCCAAAACACTTTCCTTAACCCAGGCTACAGCAACCAAACTCGAGATTAGCCTAAATTCTACTCCCCTTACTAATTCGTAAACCAATTTTTACAGAGAGACGACAGAGACAGATTTAGAAGCGACAAATTTACAGTTTGTCAGTTGTATGAAAATTAATAGACCTTGTTCAACTGTTTGTAATTTTATTTTGAAGATTATTTTCGCCTCTTAATAGGTGCTCCAATTTCGCGGTCTTTCTTTGCAATATTTTTGATGTTACTTTTTGCTGCTTGCCAAAAAATCTTAGATTATTTATTATTCTTGTTTTAGATTACTTATAAAATCACCTGTCATGCTGTGACAGATAATTTGACACGTTTGCGATTAACTGAGCGCGCTATGCCTTAATTTGAAATGTGCTAGTGCATGTACTGTGTTTACGTTTATTCCTATTCTGGTTCAACTGTACTTTATATAAAATATATTTATAATTCTAGATTATGACTCTATAATTCTAAATATACAATTATATATAAGATGCTCCATTAACACTAACAAAGTCGTTAGCGACTCCCGGTTTTTCGGGAAGTGATAGCGAACTGTAAATATTTTAGATGTGTAGATCAGCGATAGTTATGCGGAAGTGCAAATTTTTAGATTTAATATCCGATTCAGACGTTCCAATAGACGTTCCAATATACGGTCTATGCTATTATCGAGAATGTTCGTCTCCTTATGTTAATCCTTCTCTACTAAAATGGTTCAAACTTGGCAAGTTATATGAGATCCCTATTTAATCAATCAATCAATATTTACCACAATATTTTTTTAATAGTTGGTAATAGCGTACCGTTCGCGTCATAAAAAACTGGCACAACTCTGATAACCAAAAATCGTGTTTTTTAAGTTGTGTAGACCCTTCAAACATTTTGTATATTATCTCAACCCTATCTCTGGTTGTTAAATTTATTAGATACGATTTTTTGTTGTTAATGATAAAAATAATACCTAAAAACTTTATACATTTTTGAACGTTACTTTTTATATTAAGATTTTGTGCAATTCCGTTATCTGTGATGGCAACAACGAATTGATTCACAAACCGTTATGTCCAGTCTGAACACGGGTTTACACTGGGAAAAAAAATGTACCAGTTTTATATGAGGGGAAGTGTACAAGAAAATTGTGAAAGTAAATTACATTCATATTAAACTGATTGTTTTTTGATTGTAGGAGATACCGTTGAAGGAACGATAAGTTGTAAAAGGCTGACGAAAAACGTGCGAGGACTATCAGTAACTATAACAATCGGATCGAACAAGTATCAATATATTATGGACTAAAATTCATAACTTTGTATGTTTTTTAAGTTTTTTATTATACAAAATATTTATTAAGAAGTTTTATTAATTATTTCTGCAAAAGCTAACTGACAAGACTAACAAATAATTTTTTACAGATAATTTTAATTCACCTCCAAATAAGCGTATACATTGCTTTAAGGGTTAATTAACTTGCTTATTTTAATAGAAATCAACTACATTTACCTACAAATTGTAGTATACTCAATAACACAGCTATATTAAAAGCCTTAACTTTTTTCAAAACGAGTAACACGATGAAGGGCGTCATCACTCCAGGTTCACTTAATGCATTATTGAAATTAAAGGAAATTTATACAACAAATCCCATTATACAAGCAATAACAAATTATTTAGAAATACTTCATTCCATGTGAAAGAACACAGCTTTCATTTGAGTACCATGGCACACTCTAATCTGGGGGAGTGAAAAAGCAGATCAACTAGCAACTACAAGCCGTACCAACTTAGATAGATATTACAAAATATCCTTATAATGACATGAAACGTCTATTAAAGTTAATTGCAATAATATTTGGCAAAATTACTGGGAAAATTCAGCAACCAAATTAAACCCAATATGCCCAAAGGTAAACAGCTCTTTGAATAACCCCACAAGTAGACCAGATTTAGTAATTATAAACCGTTTAAGAATTGGTCATACTGCTGTTACACATACATTTTTAATCAGTAAAAATCCACCACCAATTTGCAACAACTACTCCATTTCATTGACAGTGAAACACTTTCTAAGAAGAATGCATGGAATTTCAGACGACCTCAAATCCATACTGACAGAAAACATTTAAATGTATTAAATTATTTAAGAGATATACAGTTGTATTATACTTTTTAATGTACATAATCATATTAAAACTATTGTGTTTGTCATCCCACTAATAACCCCGCGTAGTTGATGTGGAACAAATGTTTTTAAATAAAAAAACTACATCGGTTTGAAATTAATTACGGGTCCAAATAGTAATATTCAAGAAAAGGAAAGAAACACTAGAAGAACAGCCAGAAGTATTTAAGATACCCATCCAATGGATAAATGGTAAACGCTATGCAAGCAAAGATAAGAAATTTAACAGAAAGCGGAAGGAAAGTGGGGTTTCAAATCTAAAACAAGGTTGATAAATAGCATCCTAACCTTCATACTGAAATTTGCATTTCTCAGATAGGGACACACGACCAAAACTAACACGAAAGAAATCCATAACAGAAGCCTAAGACAAGCACCAAACGTACCTCGATATTTGACACGTGTTCAGAGATATGAAGCAAATCAGGATACTAAAATCGATGGAAGAAACAACACGTGTGAAATTCGTCGAGCTAGAAATAGTCCAAATCACATCCTGCGATAGATAGTAGAAAAAGACCCAAACAACAACTGCTTGTTTAAGTTCCTAGGAATAATACAGTTATTATTCCCAAGGAATATTTAAACCATTCCCAGGGAAGCATTATTTGGATTTAACTTATTGATTCAAAGATGTATGGATGTCAATCAACCACAGTTCGTTTGTTTTATTGATTACAATAAGGCCTTTAATAAAGTTCGTCATAATTACCTAATAGAATTGCTTAAAAATAAAAATATAGATAACAATATTAGAATAATCACTCATCTTTATTTTAATTGGACTACCAATGTTAGAGTAAACGATTTTCTAAAGAAATAGAGGTGTAAGGCAGGGTTGCGTGCTCTGACCATTGTTTAATTTGTATTTGGAAGAAATAATTTAAAAATCACTCGAAGAAACAACGATTACAATCATAGTTAACGGCAGATCTGTCAGTAAGATTAGATATGCAGATGACACTGTGCTAGCAGAAAATATACAAGACTTACAAACATTTTTAGATTCAGTGGTACACGCTAGCGAGGAAAGTGGAATGAATGTTAAACAGACCAAAATTATGACAATTACAAAAACGCAAGACACTTTAAATAGAAGAGGAACGACGCTAGAAAAAGTGAACAAATATACATATCTGGGTACGTTTGTTAACGAGGATAACGTCCTATACAGAATAAATAAGGAGGAGAATTGGACAAGCAAGATCAATATTTAATAACATGAGAAAAGTACTTCGCAGCTTATAATTGAAAATAAGAATATTACACTCCTATTTGTTTTCTATGCTACTTTATGGAGTGGATGCTTGGACCGCCCCGGACCTTACAGAAAGAAATTAGTGATCGATTAGAACCATTTGAGATGTGGTGCTACAGCGACAACGAAAATACTGATAAGAAACCAAATCGATTACATTCTTGGTAACAAAATAGTAGATTTAGAATTGGCATTAAAAGCGTGAAAACATCTTAGTGCTAATGCAGACTCCGACCATAACCTACTTCTTGCCAACGTTAACGTTAAACTGAGAAAACACCAGAAAAAAAGTAAAATTCAGGGACCAGATTTCTCAAAGCTCAAGGGTGAAAAATGTCAACAACAAATAAATGAAGCAATTGCACCAGAATGCACAGAAGCTTCAAATAATATATTAGCAGTGCTGTTCATTGTTTGTTCTCTCGTTTGTTTGTAGTTTACTCTGATGATGTCAATAATCATTGACGAAAGCTTAGATCTTTAATTAAAAAGCACATCTAACGAAGCACCCTAGTTTTATTTTGCTTCCTCAGTTATAAAAGGATATCTCCCAGTATTATCTCGTTTTCACTATATATATATATATATATATATATATATATATATATATATAATATATATATATATAATATATATATATATATTATATATATATATTATATATATATATATATATATATATATGTATATATATATATATATAATATATATATATATATATATATATATATATATATATATATATATATGTCTTCATATCAATGCGAGATCCGTTTGTATCATAAGCTATACAAGATGAGATCCATTTTGCAAGGCGAGATCCGATTTTGGATCTCACCTTGTATTCACGTGTATATAGTGATATCTCGATGTAACAATGATGGGGGTACAAGGAAATCGATTTTTGTCTGGACCTCATTTTGCACCCCTTTTGGCGAATTTTATATTGCAGTAGTTCCACGAAATTCGCTGTAGAGGTCAGGGCGAGTGATCCGTTGTGTATATGCTAAATATACATTTTGTAGACAACCCGAGATCCGGTAAACTTGGCAACATCGCAAATGAATTTTACAGTCAGCTCTCTCCCTCCCCTCTGCTTATTTCTGGTTTGAATAATAATATTTACATTATTAAAGAGGTCTGTCTAGAAAGGCGATTGTCAAATATCTCGAGAACTAGACGTCGTATCGAAATATTGTTTATTTGTATTATTAATTTTTTACAATTTTTCTTATATATGTTCATTTTATATATGTATTTTCTTCTCCATTGTTTGTTTTACAAATATGTTTAAAATTTTATTTTAATCGTTTTTAAAAGACCTATAAAATACACCCAACCGCTTTCAATTTGATTGAGAGTTTTTTTTTTGTGTTTTGGCTTGGACAATTGTCATTCAGCCAGTCTCAATCAAGATAAGTTTATTAATGTACTGTGTGTGTGTGTGTGTGTGTGTGTGTGTGTGTGTGTGTGTGTGTGTGTGTGTGTGTGTGTGTGTGTGTGTGTGTGTGTGTGTGTGTGTGTTTGTGTGTGTAGAGTAATTGCATCGAGCAAAAAGACAATAGAGGGAATGTAAAGGTAGTGGGGGCAAACATATTGTTAGACAGGAAGTGCGATCTTTAGAGGCCACATTAAACAAGGAAAGAGAGTCTCTCTCCTTGTTTGACATCAAATTTAGTTGGGTTATGTTATTGTTTGTCCCAAATGTCACATGAAAACTTATTTATATTGAAGTTTTTAACAATTGTGTGGCATTTTAGACTCTTATCATTAATAATTAATTAAAACTTTCTCGTCTAAGACACATTCTGCGAAATATTATATAGCTACTGTTGATAAGTGTCGGAAAATTTAAATTTGGCGCATTCGCATTTCCGGATATGTCCGCCATCAGAGGCCACTTTTTTGGTCTCCTTTTCATAAGGATTAGATTCCCTCTTTTGTCTTATTGCTCGATGAGTAATTGTCTTGATACTTAGCAAAGTCGACGTCATTGTCTTTGCTAAGAGACGCTAATTGTATCGGAACGTCTGCGGTCCCTCCGGTGTGTACCGATCCCACAAGGATAGAAATTATTTTCATTTATTAATTTTTTTTAATAAACGAAAATTTCCACCCAGGTGGGATTCGAACTCACGACCTTTAGATTTAAAGGCAGGCGCTCTTACCACTGAGCCACAGAGGGGGTTTTGATTGAGAGTTATTAACACAGATCTATTTTGCATATTATTTATAATTAAGGGACCAACTATGCCGTTCACGTACTATATTTAGATTCCAAGGGAATATTTTTCAATATATGTAGTTCATTTCTGCTAAACTTGGACACTACGTCAAATAGTTTACGAGCTACAGCTTTATAAACAAATTAACTTCATATTTATTCGTTTATTGAGCCCGGACGAAGGTCAAAGTAGGGAGGGTTTTTTTAAGGGGAGGGGATTTTAACTCAATGAATCAAAATTTAGTTGTATTTAAAAAAAAAGTTTTTGAATCAGAGATTTTTTTAATTGTCTTATTATATAAACATTTTAATAATTATTATACTAATAATTAGTAAAATAAAAAGGGCTAAAGAAGTAACCAGTACCAATAAGGGCAGTAACCAGAGTCATCTTTTTAACTACTATAACTTTTCAAAATACACCAATTAGATTCATAATATTTATGTATTAAGACTAGTAAACAGTAAAATATGTACCTAGTTAAATTGAGTTTTGAATCAACACTGTAAATGAATAGTTTATTCGTATATATGTCTATAGGATAATATTAATAAACAGCAGCTGTATCACTTTTAAAAAGATTTATTTCGAAGACATGGATGACCGTTAAATCGCTCTATAACAATTATAAATGAAAACTTTAATTTGAACCCAGGTCTTGTCTCTGAATAAATCAGGTCTCTCATTT